GTTGGGGGCAATATGCTGACTCTCTGTAAACCGCTTAGAGAGGCCTGAAAGGCCTATGAAGCGGTATATAAGTCTACTGCTATTGCTATTGCCTCCACCATCTCCAAAATAGCACAACAATGTGGCATACTTTTGATTATTGTTGCAACCTTTACATCTTGAATAAATTGTAATAAAATCGTTTTCCTGTCTCCACTTGTTTCATTGGAAAAACATGCATACTGAACCACAAGCCTGGAGCTAGATTCGGCCTTCAGCCAGGTATTGGTGCAGGTTGGCATGTCACCCCCAAATGTCATGTTGTGTCATCTTTGACACGTGTCATAAATGCACCACCACTGACTTAAAGTCTGCTTTTCTCTTTCTTGCCCTTCTAAAAGCCAAGCTTATAGACTGTGGGGACTTACAAACCAGGAAACAATGATGACCCATTTCCAAAATCTTTTTTTTTTACCATGGGGACAGGGAATTGGGGTGGGGGTGGCAAGGAAGGTGACTATGCAATGGAACATATTAAAAAAGGAGAAAATTATACATAAGACAGGTAGAATATTTCCCTCCCTGCCCTCCTCCCCTGACATCAATGCAAAATTGCCATGGGAGCCCAAGGCTCATTCTGACTCACTTTTCTAATATAAAACTTTGTTCTTGAGTACACTTGAACAAGGCTAATACAAACAGGGAGCTTCTGCCGTATGCAGGAAGAAAGAGCTTGGAAAAAGGTAATTCCCTGCAGGCAGAAGAATTAAACATCCTTTTACTCCCCGCTTCTCTGCTCTCAATCATCCGACTTTGTGAAGTTGTGTTTCTCAGAAGCAAATTCTGCCAGGGATTCCCAAAACTGTTCACAGGAAGAACACAATAAAATCTTAACCATAGAGGACAATGATGTACTTATTACTGAAATGCTTGTTTAAAAATATATGCCAATGGGATTTATTGATTAAAAGTTTTGTTTATGGGAAGAAGGGAACCATGAAATGCAAAATCACGAGGGTAGAGATGGTAATTGGTATGTTTGTAAGTGCTGCAAATATCAGAAGTTGCTTATTTTTTGCTTGCTTGTTATTCTTCACCTTTTCTTTTACCATTTATAATTTATTTCCTTTTATATTTTTTCTTTCTGTAATTTTTAAAATCTTTATACAATTTTTAAGAATAATTATTTATATACAATATTATATACTGTACTACCAAAACTCTTGGATCTGTATTGGAAAGTATAGGGCAACTATTATTGAACCAAGGTAACTCAAATAGGCTAGCGTACAGAAGAATGCCAGGACTCCGGTGGGAATGAAATTTGGGGAAGTTGTGGACGCTTCAGTGCCATCAAGCCTTCCAATCACACTTCATAAAAACCTATAGGCTGCATGGCACAAGGGAAGATGGGAGAGCTATATCCCCACCCTTTGTTCCCTGGATACAGTCAGGTGATGGCAAGGCCCAGCAACCAGGGATTGGCTGCTTTGGACAAGCCAAGTCAATGGAGAAGCCAGCAGGAAATCATAAGTCATTCCCACTGCTTTTTTGCCCATGGTGCAGTCATTCCATTGTTCCCCACTCCTCAGCAATATCTCTTACTAAAATTAGACCGGTGGATCAATTCCACCAATCAGCCGAGAAGTCATTTCCAATGCTCCCTGCCGACTTCCCACAAGCAAAGTCAATGGGGAAGCCAGCAGGAAGATGGAAATTGCTTCTGCTCCCACTGCTGCATCCAAATGGCTAGCAGCAGGGCCCAATGGGTGAACAGCGATTGGCTGCTTTGGAACAGAGGTTGAAATATGAATTCTCTTGGGGACAGTGGGCATGGAGGGAAGGATGAGGGATCAACTGGGATGCCTGAGAGGTAGGGAGTGTTCTCTTGCTCCCTAGAGAGAAGCATCCTTTGAGGTCATGCTGAAACGGATACAGAGGGTGCAGTTTTCCTCATGGCCCGCAACTCCCTGTTCCCCCTCCTTTTAGCAAAGTGGCAGGAAGTTCCACAGGTCAGCCAAGAGGGAGAAGAAGTGAATTTATTATACTCCCTGCCAGTTTTCCACAAATCAGTGGGGAAGCCAGCATGAAACTGGAAGTTGCTTAACCTCCCACTCTTTTTTTGTCTGCCTGTAGTCATCCTGTTTCTCTGTTTAGATAAGAATTTCTAAAAGGTTGCCAAGTGTGTGTGTGTGTGTGTGTGTGTGTGTGTGTGTGTTTCTTCATCTTCAGAATCATGTGGGGCAAATTGTGTACTTTCTTAGATGTTATTAGGCCAGGAGAACAAAGAAACGAAGACATTTGAGGATAGATTCAAGTTTATTATTAACCAAAAATATCAAGCATGACTAAAGGATCATCAAGGTACCTGCCAGGCTTTTAGATTAGTTTTGTGTGATCCAGCTATGATGGTTTGTTAAAGAAACCATGGCTTAGCAAGAGTGAACCTAACTTATTATTCCCTATCATTAATTCAGTCTTAATGCTTTGGGCTACAGCTTCCGTCTCAAGCCAACGCATCAATTGCTATTCGGATTGGGAAAGACATAAGGGGTAGATAGTATAAAGAATGTCTTCCCTATTCCTTATTGCCAATTCCCATGATTTTTTTCAAATGAAAACAAAAAAACAAAAAGAACAAAAAGAACAATCAGGCTGATTAAATTTTCTGACACATACTTGGAATACAAGATTGCCGGCTATTTCTTTTCCAGGAGAGTGATTATTATAATCATTCATTCAGAACTTTATTTTCAGAATATATATATATTACAAAAATTGGTGCCTGCCCTAAGGAGCTTACAACCTAATTGGTGGATTGAAAGAATTAATGTGTGTTGAAAAACATTTAGACTTATTTTTTCTACATGTGACTGGAATGAACATTTTGAGGTTTATCTGGGGGCTGGTCAGTCCAAGCAGACATTTTTAAAAGGGCACAAAGGCTGAAGGTGGTAAAACATAGCACATTCTACCAATAAGTACCCAGAAAACCATCCAATGGTTATACAATTTAGACTAGTAGTAATACTAGTAATACTGGCTAAAACAAAGGCTACCAAATTTTTGCTAAGCATTCAAGAAGCTGGGACTGGTTCTCTTTAGACAATAAGTTGAAGGGTCAAAGAGACAGGTTGGCCAAAGCATCCACTATCCTTCCTATCCACTCCTGCCAAATATTCTGCATTTAGGATTCAGCAATCCATGTGGATGGCCAGAAGGCAAGGCTTTTCAATGTGTAGAGAGACGGCTCAAAAGTGCGTTTCGGGAGATTTCACGGTAAGCATTTCGCAGCAGCACATAAGGGAAGCAGGTCTCCAGCATATCAACAGTCAAGAAGGATGACTCTTCCACAAGCTGAAAGAGATATATAAAAACAGAAATAAGGCAGAGAAATAATTTACTGCCACCTAACCAGCAGGTTAAAATCAAGCACCCTGCCTGATAAAGTAGCCAGATTCTATTCTGGACTCTGGTAAGAGCCAGGCAGGCTATCCTTTGTAAACAAAACATATATCACATTCACATTCAGAGTTTGTTTCCTGAAGAAGGCAAATTCATTTGCTTTGTAAGAGGTGAAGGCGTGGCACTCTTACTATACGGTTTCAGAACTGCAAAATCTGTTGGGACCACAGACACCAAACAAAGTTCATCGCAAACAACTGCAATCTCTTTGTCAATTCTACAGACTTGGTGGATTGTGAAATGTATTCCCGATTCCTTGTTTCTATGACAATTCCACAGCTTTAAGGGGTGTTTTTTTAAAATAAAAATAAAAAAATATCTATTTGATCTTTTTCTGAAAGTATCCAGGGAATGAGATTCTATGTCTTTAGGTCTGTTGATTTTGCCTGGGTGTGATACAGTCTGCAGTATTCTTTCTCCACCATGGACACATCAGAAATTAGAATACTGCTGACCGTCCAGCACATCTGATGATGATGATCAGCAGGAGTCACTGTAGCAATGGGGCTCTGCCAAAGGTGATGCTGATGAAGCAGCTATACCTCTTCTCCAATTGGGATAATGAGTGAATGCCAGGCTGGGCTAACTCATTCACATACTCCAGGGAGAAATATTTGCATTTAAATTGCTTTGCGGCAAAAGCTATGCGGCCAGTGAAGAATATCAACTCCCACCCAGGAAGCCAGGGCCCCACCTGGCTGAGCCATCTCCTCCCATCAGCAAGAAAATCAATAACTATCTCCTGCTGCCAAGGGAGCCCCTAATGGAGATGCATCACCTGAGCTGCTACAAAGGACCACTCTGTCGTCTTTTCCAACCAGAGCAGCTCTTTTTACCAACACAAGATGACCAGCCCAGTAATAGTAACCCCCCACTGCCCAAGAAGGAATGATATTTGCTGTCTCTATCATTGTCATTCTTTGCTGCTGCCTATCCTGGAGGAGATGTTAGTACAACCGAAAAAAAGACCCACAATGCATAATAAGTATTGACCGGTTCCTCTCGTTGTAAACAAAAAGATCGGACACCTAACAATATTTCCTCATATTGTAAGTCAAGTCATGTACCTTGACTTATTTGCTGCAGATTTTGTGCTACTTTATGACAATGGTAAATGGGTTTTTTTTTTTAATGGGGCAGCGATCTGTTGTGCAACGGTTTTCATTACAGATAGTCCTTGACTTACAATTGGTGGCTTAGCAACCATTCAAAATGAGGAGGAACCCCAATCCCCACCCCAAAGGTTCTTCTGACCAATTCTGAAGTTCCAACAAATGGGGAGGGGCCTCGGTACTATGCAGAGGTGGTATTCTGCCAGTTTGCCCCGGTTTGGGCAAACCAGTAGTGGCAGCGGCAGGAGGCTCCACCCACCTGCCCAGACATCATCACGGATGCTCTTCCGAACTGGTAAGAAGATTTCAATCCTGGTCCCATGACTACATTTTTGGCATGTAGCAAACAGCCTGAATTTATGGCCATTTAGAGAGCTCCACAGTCACGAATCTATGATTTATGATGTTTTTGCAGTTTCTTGGGGGGGGGGACACCCATAGTGTACAATAAATTTGCTGAACAACCACAGCATTCACTTAACAATCAGTGCAAAAAAAAAGTCATAAAATTGGATCGGTCATATGATTATCCAGTTTATAACCATTATGATTTAAGACTGTAGGCTCAGTTAAAGTTGTGCGTCAAAGACTAGTATACTTGGTGCATCACTTTATGGTGACTGAATTCAACCACATCCAATGGCCTAAGGGACTCTCCTTCCCACATCCAAGGGCCTAAGGGACTCTCCTTCAAATTTGTTTCCAAAGTAGGTTTCCCCAAGTACAATGACTTTTATTCATCACTTGTTTTATGGTCGCTGATGAACACAGTGTACAGTTCATAAAGAGCTACAACACTTAAAGACATCTCTAAACAAATGATGCAGATTAATACAGAACCTCAAATATCATATTCATACATTATCTAAAATACTAGGAGAAAGGATAAAAAGAAAAGACTCTCTAAAATGCTTAAGGCTAAATTACTAAACAAGTGAAAAACAAAAATCCTAATATACCAAACTACTGAAGTGCCAAAATGCTATATTAATACGCTACTAAATGATTAAAATATTTGAGGTATAACCAGATTTATCAGCCAGACAATCTGTCTCTTTATTACTGTTATAAGCCAATGTCAATTATTTAAATGTCCATGAAAACAATACATAAAGCAGTAATTCTTATCTGTCTTGATTTAAGTTCCTCCTTATAGCAGCTGTATCTGGCAGGCTGCCAAACAAAATTAGGGTACTTTCACTGCCATATTAAAATCTTTATCTGCAAGTAGATAATGTACATATAATATAGTGAGTACAAATGGGATGTTTTGTATTAGGAGGCTGTTATCTAGATTTGGTGAATATCCCTATAAAGGCGAGGTTAGAATATGGACTAGCTTTTCTAATATAATGTTCCCACATGAGTGGAGTCTTTCATTGATCAGAAAGTTCTTGTATCTTCCCTCAGGGAATACTAAAGGATGGAAGTATTGCAACCTTAAATATCTGTTGACGCACCACCAATTACCGCATGTATACACAGACAAATCCTTACACAGAAATATGAAAGTATGTGATTCTCTGAGTTTTGAATCTGTCTAGGTGGTTGCTAGGACTCGAAAATAACTTGATGGCACAAAATTAATCAACCAGTTAATCAGCAGTCCTCTGGTCTTTTAATTTGGAGCATGTGTATTGCCATGCTGGCTTTCAATGTAGGTGCCACCAGCAAGCGCCAAGCAAATGAGAATCCTAGAAAGTGAACTGATCAGCACAGACATTTCTCAGCAATGTTTTTCATGATTATTAACGTCCTCTAAAGCTTCACAGCTTTTCTAAGAGTTATAGAAAGAAGGCAAGATGCAAAAGGTCCTCTCTTAGAGTCAGCATTTCGCCCCCAGCAATCTGAGTGCTGATTTTACCAACCTTGGAAGGATGGAAGGTTGAGTCAACCTTCAGCCTGCTGAGATTTGAACTGCCAAATTGCAGGCAGCTGGCAGTCAGCAGAAGTACTGCACTCTAACCACTGTGCCACTAATAATATTAGTTATTACTAAAAAATTAACCTCGTTTTGAATGTTAACAAAACAAATGAGATCATTGTAGATTTTAGAAAGAGCTGACATAGTCATGCTCCATTTTGTAAAACGGCTGCAGCTGTGGAGATGGTCAATAGTACTAAGTATCTGGGGGTACAGATAACTATCTGACTTGGTCTCTTCATAAGTTATTAGTGAAGAGTGCAAACCAGCGTCTGCATCTCCTGGGTCAGATGAGGAGGGCACATCTTTCTCCTTCTGTCCTGGCCATTTTTTACAGAGGGACAATTGAGAGTGTTTTAACAAACTGCATCTCTGTTCGGTTTGGTGGCAGCAGTGCCTCAGAGAGAAGGTCCACGCAGAGAGTGGTAAGGACAACCAAGAAGATTATAGGAAGCTCGCTCCCTGTTATTCAGGAAACTGCTCATAAGCGCTATGTGCTTAGAGCTGGAAGCATTGTTAGAGACCCCACACACCCACTTCGCAGTCTGTTTCTGTTGCTCCCCTCTAGGAGGAGGTTACAAAGAGTTTGTAGCCGGACTACCAGATTCCGTAATAGCTTTGTTCTCTATGCCATTGTCTGGTAAACTCACAAGATTTGTTTTTTTCACCATGCATATATATATATATGCATATATATATATGCATGGTGAAAAAAACAAATCTTGTGAGTTTACCAGACAATGGCATAGAGAACAAAGCTATTACGGAATCTGGTAGTCCGGCTACAAACTCTTTGTAACCTCCTCCTAGAGGGGAGCAACAGAAACAGATATATATATATATATATACATCCAAACTAGACTGTGATATTTATCTGTGTCATATATGTGTATATATTGTGTATATGCATAATGGTTATCTTTTGAGAGCTGAATGCAACAAAATTTCATTTTAATGTATGCTGATTACTATACATTTAAAGTGACAATAAATTCTATTCTATTCTAAATTCTATGCTATTCTACTGTATTCTATTCTATAATGTTGGTTCAACAAACCTATGCTTTTAGCAGATAGATGGGGACTGTCTGGCCTGCTTACACCTCAAACAGCATCCTTCACCACTGTTTATATTAGTTTTAATTGCTAGGAGATGGTTGAACACATTTTGCAGGTCACAAGTTACTCACTTCTACTTTAGAAGTTTTTATTTCTGTTTCCAGATATTACCTTGGGGAAAAATAAAGCAATCTAATCTGATTCTCATTTATTTGAAGCACAGTATAAAAGAAACTCACATCTAATAGCCTAACCTTTAAGATACTCACCAAGTACAGAAGCAATGAGATGGACTCCCAATTCTTGGCTTTCATCCGATCAACGTCTAGCCCTCCCTGTGAGATGCTAGCAGAAGCCAGCTGTGGAGGTAAAGGAAAGATAACAGAACTTGAGACAGTTTTCCAATGATAACAAAAACTAGAACTATAAGGTTTCATTGCAATGATTAAAATGTAAACTGCAGGTCTAAACTTTTTTCCAAAAGAGAGCACTGGTTGAGGAAATTATTAGACCTCATAGAACAAGACACTGAAATTATTTTGGTGGGCTACAAAATGCACTCACGTTTAAACAAAAAATAGCCCATCTCCCTGTTTTAAGGACCAAGCATAGATACAAAGCTTGTCCCATTTATTTTCAGATGGAAACCACAATCAGAAGGGGACATTTTATTTATTTGTAATTTAGTCTTATAAAACTGTCCAACTCAACACTGACTTTGGGTGGGGCACAGATTAAAAATAGATTCAGTACCTAAAACACAAAATAAATAACAAAAATAAATGTAGTGGAGGAACAGACATATAACCAAAGAGATACTGCACATCAGCTGAACATACCCCAACATATCCCAGAGTTTGAGGAAATATAATAGATTTTTATAGACAATTTAAAAGGTTGGAAGAATTCAAATTTCTGAGCATTCCAAAGAGCAGGTATGTTTCCTATATCCCATCATATTAGATTGCTTAATGGATGAGACATAATCTGTGCCTATGGTGTTGGATTTTACACGGTGGGCAGAAATGATAAGACAAACTGGTCCCAGGTAGAAAATCAGGTCATGAATGGTTTTATAAGTGATAACCAGTGGTGGGACCCTGTCAGTTTAACAATTGGTTCAGTGATTGCATGCTTCAGGCCCCTGTTCCACCCACGCCTGATGCACACTCCACAATCTGCTCTGCCATGCGAATCAGCTGAGAGGATATAGATAAGTAAAACACAAAGGTGGGGGGGCACCTGATCGACGGAGAGAACCGGTTGAGCTGATTGTTGGAGCTACCAGTTCACTCGAACCGGTCCAAACCAGCTGAATCCCACCCCTGGTAATAACAAGCATCCTGAATTGCATTCAGCAGTTTACTGAAAACGAATGTAGCTGGAGTAGTGGAAATGTTACATGGGCATACCAAGAGTCACCTCTAACTGCTCATGCTTCTGTGGATCATCAGCATACTGATGATGTCTGACCTCCTGTCACTTCTTGACCTGAGCCAGGAGTTTCATGTAGAGATTGAATAGAGCCACAAGGCAACCCACAAATCACAGACTCAGCCTGGATCTCTCTCCACTTGTCAACACCAAATGGAAGCGGGACAATCACAGCAGCACCATAACTCTCATTCTCAAGCCTTATATCTAGTCCTGAAGAATGTCATGATTGATACACTGACTAGGAGTTCAAGAAGAATGAAGACAACTGTTATCATTTCCATCCGCACTTTACCAACAAAGGGATTCCACACTGGGTCTTGGCCTGAAAACTGACTGAAAATGGTCCATATTATCTGTCTCCTCAAGGGCCCCTTGAAGTTGTGGTTTGACCCTTTTCTTAACAACCTTCCCCCAAAACAGAATGCTAGACTGGATAAAAATTATCCAGAGCCATTGGGTCAAGTGATGACTTTTTGAAGAGGAGGCACACCACTGACTCCTTCAAGGCAGGAAAACCATCCTCTCTTTCAAGGATGAATTTACCATCCCATGCAGCCAGCTACTTGTCACCTCCTATGAAGCCTTAAACAAGGGACATGGATCTAATAAGCGATTTGACTGGACTAACATTTCGTTTCCAATTCCTCAAGAATCCCAGAACGAACAATTTTTAGTTAACAGGACAAGATTGTGTTTTGGCCACTTTGTCAGGACCTGTCCAGCTGGAATCTAACTCAGAATGGAACCAAGTGACTTCCTCCATCAGATGTTATGGAGCAGCACAAAGATAGTGTTGAAGTACATATTCAGCAACTATTAGTAAAATATGAGGAGGAAAACAGGAATGCATGAGAAAGAACTTCAAGATTATCTGACCTTGGTATTGTTTGATATAAGATGAGTGAGGAGGAAATGCTGTCAGGCTTTCTGTTATTACATCTATTATAAAGTAGAAATCTAATATTTCTGATGATGATGTTTTCCAGCTTGAGATCATGTCACAGTTACCCCACATATGCCATGTGACCATCAGTGTGTATTCAAGTCCTCCGTTCCCTAGGTCAGGTCCATGTGGCCAACATCTCCAGAGCTGCATCAAATTCTGTCACGTGAAGACAAGCAAAGTCTCCCAGGACTGTCAATCTTGGATAGTTGCTGAACTCAATGACAGAATTAAACAGCTTAAGCAGGCATTTCGCTGGGTAGCAGGAAGGACAGTTCAGCAGCAACAAACTCAACTGCTCCCTTGAGCTCAACTTCAGGCCCAGGGTTTCACATCAATTATCTGTAGCTCAAACACTCTGAAAACCACTAGGGCTTTCTAGATGAGCTTTCTCAGCGTTGTTCTTCCCAAGCTGTTTTTCTTTCCCCTGGGAAAGAAGATAAGATCCGTTTCTCTTCCCCTCCTAGATAGGACGTAGTTCCATGGGAAGGGCAGGAAGGTCTCTCTTATTATCCCTGTTCTGGGCTCTGCGAAACATTTTCCCTCTGCCAATGCTAAACCTGCCGACTATCTATCTATCTATCTATCTATCTATCTATCTATCTATCTATCTATCTATCTATCTATCTATCTATCTATCTATCTATCTATCTATCTATT